ATCGTCCGGCAGCAGGTCACGATGAAATGCGTGTTCACGATCACAAGCCGAAGAACAACACGCCTGGTCGTGTCGACCGATCGAAACAGCCGCGCCGGTCGCATGCCCCGCGGCACAGATCATAGGTCACAGACGCCCCACCAGACGCCGCTGACCAGGCATTGACGGCGGGCGTCGTCGGCCTGGTCCCCCACACACCGGCGACGTCGACGACGTCACGGCCCGTCGGCGCCGACAGGATGCTGCTGACTCAGGCGCGGTATCTCTCCTCGTCATCGATAATTCGTCACGAGCGAGGCCGAGGAGCGGGGGCGGCTCTGCGGGCGGGGACCGGGCGGGCGGAGAACGGCGCTGTCGTCGATCGCATTTAAAAGTCTGCCTGTTACCTGGCAAAACTCTATTCAGCACTCCTGCCGTTGCTTTCACGGAATCTTCCTCTCACGCCGGCCCTGTCCAGCCCCCTGTCGGCACTCGCTTGATATTTATTTCCGACTGCGTCACTGAGTTTCTTCACTGCGATTCCTGTCGGCAAGACGCGAAGAATCAGGGCGGTTCGATTGCACATCACGCATGCTGAGGCAGCAAATGGATGTCTGCGCGGTTATTGGTCTTGACCGGAACCTTTCACACTGAGCAGAATATGAACTCTGGAAAATGAATGGAACTAGACATAAGCCAAAATCCCCAAAATGCCCCCGGGATCGGATCGCTTTGATCTGAATCCCAAATATACTGGGATCCTGTATTTTTTAAATTTCGTTGAGAATCTTTTGGGAACCTGAACCATTTTTGAAATGCCGTACAATAATTGTCTGGGGTCATGGATTTTTGTAAGTTTCCAAAGGATCTTATGAGATCTTGAAAGTTTGGAGCTTTTCCTGGAATATCCCCAGGGATCCTAAAGTCAACTTAAAGTTGCCAAATAATATTAAAAATATTTTCAACAGCCTGCAGAGAGCCATAAGATCTTATGAGATCTTGAAAGTTTGGAGCTTTTCCTGGAATATCCCCAGGGATCCTAAAGTCAACTTAAAGTTGCCAAATAATATTAAAAATATTTTCAACAGCCTGCAGAGAGTCTTAGATAGCTCTAAAAGCCAAACTAATAGTAAACAGGACAGCTTTGATTTCATATTTTGGACCTTTATCTGTATCACCACCATCAACATGGGGAATGCCATGCTTTTGCTTATTGCCATCCTGTCATCTTATTGGCAATCATGTCAGATCTCATAAATGCACGCATGTGCACGATCAACTTTCAGTATTATGTAATATAACCAGCACTATGACATCTGTACTTTGTCAGTAATCCATTTATTTCCATGAATTATACGTGCCGGCTGCTTCCTGTTCATCCTCTTTCTCCTTAAACTTTATTGCAGGAAAAAAAAATAGGAAAGGTATAACTGCAATGACATAGTGAGCTTAACCCTAATTTAACAATTCGGAATGGCACTAATGAAGTCCACCTACACCGCATAGCGACATCAAGAGGCAGAGAGATCGTCATAACCATAGTTAATCTACTCGTACCAAACATTTTGAGTTTCGAAACGTGGATCTCTGACACTGGGTAGCGCGCATTTCTCAGTCACGACACGATCAGTCGTCATCGCCCACGCCCTGCTAAGGGGTCTCACGAAGGGGAGGCATGCATCATCTGTCTCTCGCGCGCCGCTATCTGCCAGTCTCTCTGCGCCGTCATCTGTCTCTCGTGCGCCGCTATTGCGCAGCGTCTGGATCAGACGCCTCGCCGATGCCTGCAAAGCTCTCTTGTTTTGGGTGCAGCGCCGACGCTCGGCGTCCCGTAGCCGCCCACCCGGCGCGCCCCATCGATTTCACAGCAGGTTGACGTATCTGACGACAAACATCATTAGGCCTGATAAAGTGTGCGGTGTGTTCCCAAGGTTTCAAGCAATCTCATTTCGTGCAGACAGCTTAGCCGGCACCAGAAAGGTCATCCTGCATGATCGTGAGCGATTGCCGGAAGCTTATGTAAGTGAATTGAATGCTGCTCGTTGTAGACGTGCTCCTCCTCGGCGTGCACCTAGCCTGCAGCACGGAGTTCCCCGATACTAACGATCGCGGTGGCCGCTCTCGCCATCCGGTGGATGTATATCCAGCCGCTCGGTGCTTTGCCCCCGCTTCGTTGATAGCGCGCACCAGGCCGTGATAGTGCTGGATCAGTTTCTCATCTGGCTCCCGAGCAATGCAGCCTTATCGGAGGTACTAGTTCAACTGTTTCAATAGGAGCGGAGAAGGGAGCGAGAACCCTGCGGCACAAGCAGCAATACGATCTCTATTAAGTGCAAAAGCATGCATAGTTCCTGGCCGGCGGTTCCGTGTATATGTTGTACTCGGCACATTCTAGTTGCCGTGTTTTCCCTTCATATGGCCGCACAGGAGCGCGGCGCGCCACGCAGACGGTACCTCATCAAAGTTAATAAGTACCATTTAGTTCCTGACGCGACTGCTGCGAACGCGGGTGCGCTCCGCGAAGACGGAACCTCTTAACATAGTAGCAGGTGCTCGATCGGGCGTGAACGGCACCGGAGGCGCCCTGTATTGCGGTACAGCATAGAGCTCCAGGCGGCTGCGGCGGCCGAGCGGCTGCAGGGAAGCGGGTGTCACATCACGATACGCTGACGAGCCCCAGACTGTATGGTCCCTAAGCCATGTACCTGCAATAGTCCGTATCTGATCCGTTTCTAAAGCTTTCATTGACGCCCGTCATTTTTTGTCGCTTCCTGGACCTACAAATAGCATGTCTATTCTTTTCAATAGGCCGGTAACTAGGCGCTGAATCTAGCCACCCACTTGTGATCTGCACGGCCGCAATCATGAGCCAAGCGCGTTCAATACCGGCGTAATGTACTTGGCGGTGCTGACGGCAGGGAGCCTGTTACGGTCACATTCGGATCCAAGCTCTACGTGCTGTGCACTTATATAGGGTACTCAGGTAAATACAGCGGAGGAGGCACTCTTAAGTGTGTACTTCTCACAATCAATGGCCCCTGACAGAAGGAAAAAAGTTGGCATGATAAAGTATCATTAAGCACTGTACAGTGTTAAGCACTGTAAATTATCATTAACCCCCTCTCTAGAGAAAATACTTACTGCGCCTCTGACAAGCCCATCACCCACGCTGTCAGTGCCGGGAGGTGAGCTCGCTCTGAGAGTAACTGGTCCGCATTGAGTCACTGTATTCGTTAAGCTCCCCTTCCCATTGCACCGGTGCATGGCGCTGACGTATTTTGGTGACGTAACCGGAAGCGGTCACGGTGATTGGTCAGATCAGAAGACGGAACGCTGGCTCTACCTGCTCGGTCCAGAAACCCGTTGTGTTTTGCCAGAATCATTCAGAATCGATGTAGCTTTTAGAGGTTCGCTCAAAGTAGAGATCTGGTCTCGTTACTGTTGCTAGCCATTTTCAGGACTTGTGTCTGGATTACAGTGGCCGGTGGTTAGTGCTTACTCACTGCAGCATCACGTAGTTTATCGAGGGCATGAAATGACTCAAGTGCCCGTCGTAGCTTTAACTGTCCCATCATTGGGATCGGTGGGGGCTGGACTCCGGCAGCTCTTGGGCAGATTAGACTATGTCTACGTTTGGACCACATAAAACGTCGCTTGAATGGAAACTGACCCTAATGTCCTTCAATATATGGTTATTTTATGTCGAACAGCACGATGGAGTGACGCCGAGCAGGACATCACTGTTTAATCTCCATACGGTACGCAATCGATGCGACCCCCGGTCTGGTGCGATGCGACATAACTTTAGCACCGCAGCGTATACACCTGGCTGCATATGGCGACAGCTGGCGAAGAGGTCACGGCGGAGTCGTAGCCAGAAAGTATGAGTTGCTGAGGTGAAAATATCGATAATGATTATAGGTGACATCAGTGATGGCTACTGTATTCAATGCCATGGCCATCCTCGTAAGCGCTGTATCCGATGTGGGCACGGATGATGTCCCGATGGGTACAGCTCACCACCAATACCATCGTACTGGGAGCGTCATCCGATATGCGGCACGCGTCATTGAGCAGCCAGAGGATGTCATGGATCAGTTTCAACATCCGATCAGCAGTGGTGCTCGCTGTCGCACGCAGTCCGCCCGCTACGTATGCGCATGCCATCACAGATAGCTGGACGTGACAGATCTGTCGCAGCGCTGGCCTGCTGGTTGAGGGCGCTGCGCGCAAGTCGCCACCCACCCCGCCGCCCGAGGCCGTCAGTCGCGCGCGGCTCGAAGCGCGTCACCAGCAAGCACCCAGCCCCCCCCCCCCCCGCCCCCCCTCTCCCGAGCCGGGCAGGTCAGCCTCTTCTCCGCGGCCGCTCTCCCGATCCGACCACCGGGCGTCGGAGGCTCTGACTGGGAGAGGGAGCGCACCAGCGGGTGATTAGCGTCGTTTGCCGCCCGGGTCGATGCCGGGTGTCGCGTTAGCAGCGGTCCTCTGTCGGCGGCCGATGCCGCCGGACGTTGGTCGTCCCAGCTCAGCGGCAGCAACACCCCGGCAGAGTCTGGCGTAGCGAGGCGCGCGTCTCTTGGGGCATGGTGCAACGACAAGCTGTTTGCTACTTTCAGTCATCGCCTTCACCACCAGCAATCTAATGCGTAATACATGTACTGTTCGCTTGCATCGTGTACGCAAGGTATCATCTGCGCAAATATTGCCTGAATGCTGAATTAACGCCTAGCCCGTGCTCCATCTGCGGGCGATGCCAGCCTATTCGGCTACATTGTGCAGTGATGCGCTCGATCGAGTGCCGTCCCGAGCTTGAGGCCACCTCTTTGGCTTACGACCACCTCACTCTCCATCCTCCCACAGACGTGCGGGGCCGGAAATGGCCCAAATGGCTCCCACCGACGGGGGCGGGCGCCGACCGAGGCGGCGCGGTCCACTGCTCGTGCAATCACCGGAGACGGCTAACGTTTCTCTGATGGAGCCGAAAGCCATGCCACTGCCGCGCTTGCTCGGTGACATGACGCTCTCCCTTCTTCACGCCGCTGCACGCGTGTAGCCCTCAGCGGCGTTGGTCAGTTGGTGACCCCATTGCTTGCGTGCATTTCCTAAAGTGAGTACGAGAGCACGATGTCAAAAATGTAAAAAGCCCTGGATCAGCCCAAGAGCGGCTGTAGCCAAAGAGACGCTGCGGCCGAGAAATATCTGTTGTGCTAGCACCCAGTTCAATGAGCTTTGCAAGACACTATGGGAGTATGACGCGTTCCAAAACGGAATGATTAGCCGCTGGCCTTTACTTCGCCAGCCGGTAAAAACCACTGGTCGTTAGGAATCGATGGCAGCACGTTAGCAACACAATATTTCTGCTCAAATTGACCCATTCACCTTCGCAGTTGGGCTGGAATCATTGTGGGCTGAGAGCGGGTTTAAACAGATAATGCTTCAGACATTCTGATAAATGCCTCCAGTGAAGTGCTTGTCACTGCCCGACGTGTGTTAGCACAGGCCCAAACGCGACTGCCCGGCCGGCCAGAGCGAGATCGGTGTGGCCGTGCGATTAGGTGGTCGCGATCTCTGACTTCAAGTGACTCGACCAAATGGCACAGCTCCCCTACCTAGTCTTCGAAAGTTTAAAGGGATCCTGATAAACGTGTTCAGAATGGAATTATCGAAATACCACAGCACCAGCAATTCATGGGCACAAGCACCGCCTCCCCTTCAGCGGAAAATTTGGCCGTAGTTTACCGGCCAGTTATAGCTTTGTAATTGTTGTTTGCTCGCCTACTGACGCTTGGCAGGCGGCCTTGGCCTCCGCCGCTCGACCGTCCGTGTTGAATCTCGGCCGCCGTTGCAGGCTGTTTGAGGAGCACGAGGCGCTGCTGAACTTCTTCGAGAAGTTTCGCGAGCTGCGCACCAAGGACGAGCAGGCGGAGAGCCTGGAGTTGGCCGAGCACGCGGCGATGGTGATGGCCACCCTGGACGAGAGCATCCGCGCCCTGGAGGACATGGACGCCTTCTTCGTGCTCCTGCATCAGGCTGGTGCTGCTCACACCAAGGTGCCTGGCTTCAAGACCGAGTTCTTCTGGGTGAGCTGGACACAGTCCTTTCCTTGCCCAGCACTGGGACCCTTCGGTGCTGCGGACGTTTTCGACAGCGAACGAACCGCTAACAATATATTGGAGACCATCATGGAGCCTACCTTGCGCGCCTGTGACCAGCCGAAAGCCTCGTTCATGGTTGTAGCAGCATCACTGCAAGCGTGCTGCAAGCGAATCGGCAAACCTTTTTGGATGGTTAGGGGACTTTGTGTTTAAATGAGTGAAACTACTCGACCATATGACATCCCACTGGCAGGCCTGCATATACACAGCCAAAAAGCGCGGGATAATGTTTTGATGAAAAGATGGCCTCATGTTCTTATGTTGATTTCGTAGTGATCACTTTGTCTCATTTTAAATTGACGATGCGTAGGAATCTTGCCAGTGCAGCATCGCATGACAGAGATCACCGGCAGATAATTTAATTTACAACTTGTTTGTAGACAAGGGTCAATATTACGACACGTGACATCAGGATAAATATTCCATTCCAAGATTTCTCGCTGCAGACATAGCCGCGTAAATCAATTTACGGAGTCATGTTTAATCGCGCTTGGAATAGTGACGTTTCAATAGATGCTCGCAGCTTTTTCTCTGAGTTACACCCCATATATATGTATATATATATATATATATATATATGTATATATATATATATACATATATACATATATATATATATGTATATATATATACATATATATATATATATACCATGTGAAAGCATTGGTCATGCGATTCCACTGAAAGAATTACTATCACGTGCTCAGCAAATGGGATTATACGCAAATTTTGATAAAAAAAATAACAGGTCGTGTCGTGTATTCAGTTCATGACCAGGTCATAAACGCAGGGCTGAAATGTATCTTGTGGTATTAAGCTTGATTCCTTTCGAAGCAATTATGGCACAATTCCTCAGCTTGCTGTCATTAATCTCTCTTCGCACGTCCGATTTTCACATCCTAAGCATACCACAGTCGGTGGGTGCAATCCTGACGGGATTTATCACCCAATCGACATCGAACATAGGGAGAGAAACCAGTGGATTACCTTTCTCTTTCCATATTCCCTGGAATCCCATTTGAAACTCTGGCACCAACACCTGACCATCCATGCCAAATGAAGACCAATTAATTGCGTGCACGTATTCGTGCACCAACAAATTTAGCACGCACTGGTCAGATGTACAGCTAAGACAGTTGCGCAAAAAGGCAAATAAGATTGCATATATTTTAGGTTACCTCATGATGTATAATGTTATTTCCCCCGGTTCATCAGAAGCCTGCCCTGTCAGGTCAGCTTATGCCAGTTTTGGTAGGGAATTCTTGCCAATGCTGATTATTCTATAATTACGAGCGACGGCCACATGATAAACGAACCGTAACGATATCAGCACGTGTTTGCTGATAGGCTTAAAGACCGGCCAACCACGCTTTTGGCAGCCTCATATCGTAACAGCCAGCGCTTGTGCCGCTTTTCATTTTACGGCAAAAAGAAATAATTCTTGAAAAGTTGGACCGAACATTTTTAGCCCTCGTTGTGCGATGGGGGTCTAGACACCTAGGGTTTTCTGGAATACATTCTGGACGTTTTTGAACACAACTCTGACATTTAGGTAGTCGAGCGTACCAGTTCACATCATATTTGCGTGTTATTAAATGTTGTTTGCTGCTTGAAATGCTGTTTGTGTATTTGCATGCGTTTTTTTCTGACGTAAACAGTACATCACCCATTATCCTTTTCTTCCCAGTAAGGAGTTTCGGTCCGATGCCGACCGATATCTTGACCTTTTCTCAACTTTGCTGGTTGAACAACTAGCTCTAAAAGTGGGACATTTGGCGAGGATTTACCTACCCTGTTCCGGACCCTCTCCCAGCTTTCCCCAAGTGGCCGATTGAGTAATTCCACCCGTTCCCCGAGCCGTCCATAGCGAGTTTACATCAATGGGAATCCGATCCCGATCGGGATTTCCCCACCTTTTCCTATCCGACCAGTTGGGGAATCCCGAGCATTTCGCACGCTGCTTGGGGATAAAACGCGCAAAGAGATGTCCGCTCCCGATCGAGATTTTCTTCTATTTCCCTAAGCGGCCGGTCGGTAAAACCACACTTCTCCTATCTGCCTAAAAACTGCCTATAGGGTGAATACGCAGTGGAAAAAGTATGGTACCGATAAGGGTATCCAACCCGTTCCCGAATAGGGAGGCTTGAGGAACTCCCAGGTTGCCTCAATTGATGACTGATACCCGGGGACTCGGTCGGGGAAAGCTTGGGAAAACAAACGCGTTTCCCAAGCCGGTCGAGGGCGCTTAAGATTTTTTCCCCAATCTTTTCCGATCTGTCCTCAAGCAAACTGCCGGATAGATCGGTGTTACATCAATGTATGCATCATTATCACACTGGAAGATTCTGCAATCTCACGTCATCTGAGTTCAGACTAGATCAAAGCTTGATCTCTGTCATCGGATTTGATCCTTTGAATGCCATATGATATATAATCCAATGGCGCATGTCGAATGGGCCTTGGAAGGCCCAGAAAATCCTTTCCAGCCCTATTTTTGTCATTTATGTGGTTTAGTTAGATGTTGGTATAGTCGTAAGAACAAGCCAATGCAACAATAACGTTCATCCCTTTGCCCCGATGTGACCCAACTCTGCCGTCCAAAAGTAAAACCCCATATGTTGATTTTTGGCCATTTTGCGCTTTTTATGTCACCTGATTCATCTACTCATGCTGATTTTGGTTATTTAAACAACTAATAGAAATTTTTCCAAAGGCTTAGCCCATTGTTTAGCTAAAAGCTTGTGAAAATTTCAACTATTGCTTTAAATATCTGAATGTAGCATGAGAAGACGAATCAGATGGCATAAAAAGCGCAAAATGTCTCGAAATGAACATGTGCGGCTTTACCTTTGGACAGAGAACTAAGGTCATATAAATTTATGTCCACTAGCTCCGACACTATGCCTCAGGGTCATTGGAGGTTTCTCAAGCATGTGGAATGGACATAATCATTCTTGGTTGTCTCTCCAGTGAACGCTCATAGGGACGTCGTCAAGCTCCCGGGCAGTCGGGATTTGTCACCTTCTCCCCTCTCCCGGGGGGAGAAGGTGACAGATCCCGCTCTCCTTACTCTATTTCTCTCCTGTCTCTTATATTACCTGATTTGGTAAGTCAAAGATCACTTGCATCATTATTCATTCACGCCTATGTGATGCTGTTACACTGGTACTTCCTAATCCAGTTTTCCCGTGACTCTAGTCTTTTTAGTTCTCGAGATATCAGGGGCATCTGAGGCTCCTTGTAAAGCGAATGTGTGCCATAGGGCTAAAAATGTGCCATAGGGCTAGAGATACGGTTCATTACCACCAGGATTCCACCATGATTCATCTCCCTAAGCACAGCAATAGCTGCAACTTAAAATTTTCCACTGCGAAAAAAATGACCGACAGCGGACGAAAACAGGTGCAGATCCGAAATCGCAGAGACATGAATGAGCACGTTCCGACCGAGCTGAGCACGGCCAACCGTATGAAAGAACATGCGGGTTGGCGTGCGCTGCCGGGCTTGCCCCCTGAGCGCAAACAGTCACGCCTCACGCGCGCAAACGGTCACGCCTCCTGCGTGCAAACGGTCATGCCTCCTCACGCCTCACGTCTCTCGCTCGCAAATGGTTACACCTCCTCACGCCTCATGCCTCCCGCGCGCAAGCGGTCACGCCTTCTCACACCTCATACCTCCCGCGCGCAAACGGTCACGGCTCCTCACGCCTCATGCTTCCCGCGCGCAAATGGTCACGCCTCCTCACGCCTCATGTCTCCCGCGCGCGAACGCTCACGCCTCCTCACGCCTTCCGCGCGCAAGGCTCAGGTCGCACCGTCTGAGGCGTTTTTAACTTCGGCATCCAGATTAAATCTCCAAAGAAGAGGCTGTTGATGATCAGGAAGGGGTAGGTCCCGGCCTGGTCCGTTGCCTTAACACAAAGCGGGATTTGTATGCCAGAATGGTGCGCGTATTTCCCAAGCAGTAATTACAGTTGAATGGATAATTAGACGACGCTGATATTGAATCGTCGCGACGCTTTGCTTCAGAGCTGCTGATGTCACCAGCTGGAGGAATCGGAAAAACGCAGTCCACGTGAGGAGCGCAGACCAACAAATAACTCGCCATTGCCCATTTCAGAAAATCAAGAACCCGTTCTTGGAGGCCGTCAAAGTAACTCTTGGGGACGCCTACACGGACAATATGGACAGCATTTACAGAATCACCATCGACTTCGTGCTGAGCACGCTGGTAGAGGGATTCGAGAAGGCAGAGAGTGCGGCGAACTCCTGAGCAGCGAACCCGTGAGATGTGTAACGCTCAGTCCCAGCCGTCGGCTCTCCTGGCCGGCGCCCGGTGACCTTCGGGGTCACGTGACCGCAGCTGGCCAATCGAGTGCGTGTTCAGTGACGTCAGACGGTCAACGCCGGCCGTCTGTTCGCGCCGAGGCCCGCACGTGGCGGGCAGCGGGACGGTGCGCGGCCACCGGCGGATGTACACGGTGATTAGCGAGGTGGCATGCCGTGCGAGCGTGCGCGGGCCAGCGCCCTCTTCCTAGGAGATAACAGCGTTTATTGCGGTCTGCGTGTGCTACCCGCGAGCCGTGTATTGTGGTCTGCGTGTGTCATTCTCGAGTCGTTTCCATGGCAGCAGATTGTCACCGCGGAACACCGGTCCATCGGGCTTCGCCGCTGGAGGCGGAGCGGGACCATGAGAGGCGCTGTGATGCGTGACACCCAACCTCAGACAGGGATGAGGGATCCAGGAAAGCTTCCGAGGATCGCCCACTTCTGACGCGGGAGCGAATCTTTTATAGACTGTTCGCATTGGCATGTTTGTTCCGCTTTTGGCGCGCGCTGGTGTCGGGCGCCCGTTCATTGGACAAGGACGACCGAGCCATAACCGCACGTCTGTTTACGCCATATTTCTTTTTGAAAACGCCGTATTTGTCGTCACGTATCGTCACTGCTCGCAGGATATGCTTTCCTGTATCCTATCTGGTCACGTAGGGCATTCTTCTAGAGGAGTTTTGGTTGCCGGTTTAAATGCTTAGCGGTAATTTATTCTTATATTTGTGGTACTGTGGTTCTGAAGTCGAGGGTAGCTTCTTGGAAACCTTGCTGCATAGCCGCTTACCCATTTGAGATTATGCAAGCGGACGTTCGAAGCCCGGGTATGACTTTCATCGCGACGAGCAATCTGTCTTAGACCGTCGATTTAAGCACCCTCGGGTATGCATTCATTCGGGGCCGCACATTCTCTCAGACGTGACCTGCTTTTGACAAGCGTCCGAAGCACGCGGAAAGGCTTGTGCGAATAGCCCTATGAAAGCCATCGGGAGGTCCGTGCAGATTTTAGGTCGATGTTTTGCACGACATCCCCGGTGGTCGACAGCATACGATGTGCGTAATGCAAACCTAGGCCCCGTGTCTAAATTCAGAAACGTTTTGGAGCACATGCCGTCTCAAAAGTATGGGGGGCTGAGTTATGTCGTTACGAAGAGCACAACGGCATGGGTGTACCATCCATGCATGGTCGCGCTTAGCAATGTCAGAACCACTATAGCTACAAATCCATTGGCCCAACTATGAAGTAAGTATGACCAGACAGCGGTATTCAATCGCTTCACAGTGATACGTACATGCTCATCATTTTGACACATTTCTTCCGTCCTCCCGAAACACGAAGTATCTGCCGCGTCTGCTGTTCTAAAACCGTCCTCCAAATTGAAGTCACCGTAGCCTAAACAATGACAATTTGTCTCCTGGAAGAAATGTCATCGTAAAGCACGTTCAAATTATCGTGTATAACTTTTGCTTACGCACCATACATGTCTTATTTTGGGCTCACCCCATCGATAGCCCAGCTAAAATGAGGCGGCAGGCAGCGAGACATGCTCCTTGTCCTTTCGGAGACTTCCTAATCTCACTGCTATATGTGCGTGCGCATTTTTTCGAGCTGTCCTTTCTCCGTTACTATCCGCAGTTCTCACTCACTTAATCTTATGAAAATAATTTTCCTAACTGCACAGCATTCAACAATAATCATTCTGAAGCCCAGAAACTATCCATGAAAAAGCGTGATACCCTGTCAGTCACGAATGACTTGTAAGAGAACCGCATCGCTCGGTGAAAATATGTTTTGGTAGACACTTGCCTCGTGTTGACATGACGACATTTGACGACGAATTTCGCCAGAGCTGCCAAACTTGTGTCCATTCAGACCGGTGTGTGGGTTATGTAATACACATCGTTCAGCGAGTCGACGCCGCCCCGGTCAATGCCACTGGAATGATGAGCTTTGATGGAGGGATCTTTTGAGCAAGCAAATGGACCGGGGACATACTCGTGCAGTATCACCACAGGTGGCTACAGGCTGTGCATGCTTGTTTAAGAGACAATCTTCATGGAGTTAGAAAACCAAAAGTGTGACTGATTGGAGCATCATGTTATCAGTTCACTCGTTTGCAACAGCAATTTCGTATAAGCTAGGGTACTTGTATAATAAACAGCAATAGCTCTCATTGATATACACCGGCTGACGACTTTTGGTTAAGACCATAGGGTCAGTTGGTTGATGTACAACGTTCTGCACCTAACTTTCAGCCAAAACTGAACGTTTGAAAACAGCCGATTTAACCACTAGACTAAACTTTATAATTAGCTTATGCTGTATCTTAGAAAGGGTACAATTTGGCTCATTATCTACTTTGCGTTGTAATACGTTCGCGCTTGTTTATGTGTGCTGATGCAAACAAAGCCTTAGGCAGAATGAGCACAAAATACCCACCGCGATTGAAAGAAGTAAGCGTTAAAAATAATGTTAATTGAGGCAAATTCTTCACTTGGCGTTGACAAGATCACACTATCATTAACACCGACACGTCCAGGATCATCGAGGCGGAGCTTTGCAATTTGCATTGGTGTGAATCAGACGGCTACTGGTAGCAATGGTGCCTCGGATTTTTCAGATAGGAGTAAAAAGCGATTGTTGTGTCCAAGTGGCAATCACTGTTACGGAACTGCGGCGTGCGGTTAATGAAACCTGTTACTGTAACGGCAGCCAAGAAACACCAGACTCACAGCCCGGTTCGAACCCACAATCCACCATGCGACCATGGGCGAACGCTCCGTCAGCTGTGGCGTGTCGTCCACCCTGTCTATTGTCACGAGGTGTCATCTGATGTCATCCAGTGGCAATGAAAAGCCGATGCAGTGTGGTGAGTCATGGAATTAAGGCTCTGGGTCCCGAAACTAAGGTTTGGAATGGCTCAAGAGCCCGGGACGCAGTCAGGCGCCTTGACGATGTTCAGTGACCGGACATCAACGCTCGACTGACTCCATTCAAGGGTCTGATGATGCCGACATGTTTTGATGTTGGCGTTTATTTGATAAAATGGTGCATTCGAACCCATAACTCACCTCGACTGACTCCATTCAAGGGTCTGATGATGCCGACATGTTTTGATGTTGGCGTTTATTTGATAAAATGGTGCATTCGAACCCATAACTCACCACGCGACCACGGCGAATGCTCCGCCAACTGCAGAGTTTTGGGTACTTCCGGAAAAATCTGGAGACCTGATCGATTAAGCCGTTGGTAGGCATTTATACACACTTAATTTACCTCCCTAGGTTCTCCACTTTTGCGGAGAGTATGCGTCCATTTTACCATAAAAAGAAGTAGAAAATTATCCAGCCTGGTAGCCTTCCGAGACAAAACATTTTGAGGTGTTCCGAAGAATCTTGTTCCACGGCCCCGGCTATTCTAAGACCATTGTTGCCAGTATTCAAGTTTCGAAAACAGGAAATTTACTGCAAGGCGATGGTTACCATACACCTGAACGTCAAGGCTGCACTGCTTGGAAACCGATATCGGCAGAAAACCGATCATTAATGTGAGGCTCGCCCAGATGTTACGGAAAATCTCCTTCCCGTACAACTGGTGCGAAGGTGAGGCACGTTTTGTACCGTCATAACGTCGACCGCAGCGACGGGCCAAGGGACCGTGCGAGGCACAAACTCCACGTACTCAGGGCCGGCGTAGTAAAAATGAGCCTCAGTATATCTGAACCCGCAGCTCAAAGAAGCATACATTATCGAATGTTTTGCATGGATGGCTTTGGAATCACAGTCCCTTCTGACATCTAAGCACAGCTTGTGCCACAGGCCGTGACGTCACAATCTCGGATGAACAGTTCCTGCTCCTGAAAGCTCCTGTTCAAAAGAAAGAAAGTTCCTGTTCAAAGACCATCGTGTTTGCTATTTTATGCTGTGCTGTGAAACGTAGGCAAAAGGTATTTGACAAAGGTGGGTCTCAAGATTCTGACCTTTAATCATTTTGAGTTTGTGTGCTGAAATGATTGCATTTTAGGATCATTGATATGCATTATGAAGTGCTAGAATGTGCTATCAATCGACATTACAAATTTTCAATCACAAATTTCAAGGCATGCTTGACGTGTATTTTGCCTTTCGTGAAAAAACATGCTAACCGTTCGTTTAAACCGCTTAACGTGGCCGTCGAAACATGTTACGAAACTCCACAAAGCTATCAATTATCATCGGTGAGGAACGTCACGGCATATATCAACACTTCTGTGGTATCTTAAGCTGATACCAGTAAATGACGGTGCATTAATGGTCGTGCAACATGTGCACGTGTTACATTGCTGCATTTGCATTATCGTGCAGTGCTTGATATTCATAACGTAATCCTGAAATACGGAATTAATCGCTATTTAATAATTCCCATTATACGTTTTAAAGCATCATTGAAATATGCTTGGTAATTTGTGCAAAATGTGCTGGCCATTTGTGCAAATCATTTCAAGCTGCCGCCGAATATGTCAGTGCAGCGAAAATGCTGAAAGTTGCCATTGATCGTCGTTGAGCATCGCAGTGACACATTTCAACGTTTCTTAGGTGCCCCCATTTAGCCACTAATTTACGATGAAATAAGGCTGGTTATTTGCAGCGCAGCAACTCAAAAGTCCACAAATGCCATGACCGACTCTACATCGCGAAGAGGCCCGACGGAAACGACGGAGCAGACGCGCAGTGTCATTTTTGATACCGCGGTGCGCTTTGCCACATCTGGCTGAAAAACGACGCTATTGGGCAGACGTTTACTTCTGGCATACAGAGCGCGGGGAGTGAATAATGCTCTCCCGAGTGGGGCTCTTTGGGAATATCATCGGAAAGATGGGGGGCGGGGGGGGGGGGCATTCCCCATGCTCAGACGCTGGTGTGCAATACAGCGTGTCTTTGATCGAAGGTGAATAAGCACAGCATTTGTCATTGCTCCATACGATTAAACGTGAAGCTCACTCGTGAGCTCAGCTCGTGAGTTTCACCTCAGTTGCTGAGCCTCAGCTGCTGAGCCTCAGCTGATAAGCCTCAGCTGCTGAGTCAGCATTGGCGAGCTGATTGTTCAGGGTCACGAGCATCACTGCTCACCGTAACTTGCTGAACACGGGGTGTCGCAATCCGACCACAACATCCACATGTCCATTCTGGGTGCGTGGCTGGGACGGCGATCCGTGGACAGATGGCCTGGTCTCTTGGCTGCCTCTGAACCAAAGCGTCCATAAAACCTCATAGCTAAGTCAGGTATGTGAGCCTGGTAATGCACCCGCTGTTGCGGAGACGGTTGACCGGACATTCAACGTGTATGTCTCGAGTTGCTGAACTACAGCAGATGGTCGATAGATTGTAGGACGGACAGCTCTCCAAGAAAGTCGCTGCCGATCTGACCAACCTCACGCGTCGCAGCTGAACATGGGAGCGGATCCGCAGCTGGCGCCACCTATATGGTGATGTTTGCTCAGAATCCTGCACGACTTCTGTCAAACGCGAGGAAGATGCCTTTAACACGCGCTCAGTTGGGGGTCAAATTGACCCCCTCCCCCCGAGGGCTTTCCAAAGTGGTTTCCAAACGCCGTGGCGTGGTCGTACCAAATTTTCCATACCTGTAGACAATTGAATAGCGGATCGAGTGGTATGAAAGAACTAGATGCAGCACTTTGTAAGGTCGCTGGCCTACCACAGGTCAAAGACAGACCATGGATTCACAGTCAGTTTCTAGGGAAGCCTTCAATCTGATGCAACAACGGATTGTCAGACAAAGCCGACAAATCCACACATCTCTAAGATACT